AAACGAAACCATAAATGAGACGAAAAAACAACCTTCAGAATGGGAGAAAATATTTGCAAATGAAGCAACTGACAAAGGATTAATCTCCAAAATTTATAAGCAGCTCATGCAGCTCAATATCAAAAAAACCAACAACCCAATCAAAAAATGTGCTGAAGACCTAAATAGACATTTCTGCAAAGAAGATATACAGATTGCCAACAAACACATGAAAGGACGCTCAACATCACTAATCATTAGAGAAATGCAAATCAAAACTACAATGAGGGATCACCTCACACCGGTCAGAATGGCCATCATCAAAAAATCTACAAACAATAAATGCTGGATTGGGTGTGGAGAACAGGGAACCCTCTTGCACTGTTGGTGGGAATGTCAATTGATACAGCCACTATGGAGAACAGTATGGAGATTCCTTAAAAACTAAAAATAGAACTACCATACGACCCAGCAATCCCACTACTGGGCATATACCCTGAGAAAACCATAATTCAAAAAGAGTCATGTACCACAATGTTCATTGCAGCTCTGTTTACAATAGCCAGGACATAGAAACAACCTAACTGTCCATCGACAGACGAATGGATAAAGAAGATGTGGCACATATATACAATGAATATTACTCAGCTATAAAAAGAAACGAAACTGAGTTATTTGTAATGAGGTGAGGTGGATGGACCTAAGGTCTGTCATACATAGTGAAGTAAGTCTGAAAGAGAAAAACAAATGTCATATGCTAACACATATATATGGAATCTTAAAAAGAAAATGGTTCTGAGGAAACTGGAGCAGGACAGGAATAAAGACGCAGACATAGAGAATGGACTTGAGGACATGGGGAGGGGGAAGGGAAAGCTGGGATGAAGTGAGAGTCGCATGGACATATATACACTACCAAATGTAAAGTAGATAGCTAGTGGGAAGCAGCCACAAGCACAGGGAGATCAGCTCAGTGCTTTGTGACCACCTAGAGGGGTGGGATACGGAGGGTGGGAGGATGCAAGAGAGGAGATATGGGGATGTATGTATATGTATAGCTGATTCACTTTGTTATAAAGCAGAAACTAACACACCATTGTAAAGCAATTATACTCCAATAAAGCTGTTTAAAAAAATAAAATACTGTAGTGCACACTTAAAAAAAACAATATAGTGTTAGTTTTAGGTGTACAGCAAAGTGGTTCAGATATATAGATTCTTTTTCAGATTCTTTTCCATTATAGGTTACTACAAGATATTGAATATAGTTCCCTGTGCTATACAGTAGGTCCTTGTTGTTTGTCTCAAATTTAGGGGAAAATTAGAATAAGGAATGCCTCATTGAAAAATATCAACTATTGTTAAGTTATGTACAGTAATAAAGAGTATTTTCACTTTAATTACCAAAAATCCTTTAAGCCTCAGCCTCTGTAGTAGAAATTCTTCTCTAATCTAAAGGGCTTGAGATGTGCCATACCTAGAGAAGCCCGCACGCCACAACAAAGAAGAATCCACACGCCACATCGAAGACCCAGTGCAGCCAAAAAAAAAGCCTTGAGAAGGAGCATGTCAGAAAATGAATATTTTAAATTGCAGATAAAGTAGAGACAGGGTTTTCCATGGAAAATGAGGATTACAGGGAGAGGAAGAGGCCAAGGAATCGGATTTCAGGCAGGAAAGCTTTGCAAAGCAGATTTTGGGAGATAAAGAGGAGACGGGGTTGTCCATGGAAAATGAGGATTACAGCAAGAGGAAGAGGCCAGGGAATTGGATTTCAGGCAGTAAAGCTTTGCAAAGCAGATTTTTGAAGATTTCATAAGAAACTGGTAGGTAAGAATAAGGTAAACATTAGCAAATTTGGGCTACATAGGTTACAATCAGCCATGAAATCAAATTCTTTTACCATTTTGTGAGTGATATGTAGTGGATAAATGATACTGGATAATAAATGAAATAAACTATTTACAATACAGAACATCGTACAATTTTAAACTCTAAAGTACAACTTTTTACATGTGTTTAATGTAAAATAATTTTTAAAATTACAAACCAATACACATTCACTGTGGAAAAAACCAAAACATAATACATGTAGATATAACTAATGTGAACACCTTGGAGGATTAGACTTTTATCAGACATGTTTTCCTATGTCTCCCCACATACTTTGTAATGGAACCAAACAGAATATACTGTTATGGACGACTGACTTAATTTGTCATGAACATCCTTCCATAGCATTGAGTGGATGTCTAGAATATTCTTATTAATGCTTCTTGCCACTATCACAGACCTCTAGGTTCTGCCGTTTTTCACTTTTATAAATAGCATGACCAGGAACAGGCTTGCACCAAAAACTTTATTCATATCCATGATTATTTCCTTAGGAGGAATCTCTGGAAGTAAAATTTCCTAGTCAAAGGATCTATGTCAAGCCTTTTGCCATCAAAGTCAAATTGCCCTGCAGAAAGGCTAACATACGCATCAGCTACAAATAAGTATGCATAATTCTCCACATACTAAAAACACTTTTAAAAAACTTGACCAATGTGATGTGAGGAAATAATTCTCACTGTACTTTTTATTTGCATTTGTTTGAAGTAGAACATGAAAGTTATTTTAAATGGCTCCAAGAACCCCTTGGGTTACTGGACAATACTTTATTGGAAGTAGATAACACCTACTGCCTCTGCTAGATCTTAATCCTAAAGTTATTTTAACTTTTCCCACATGTTTCCAAAACACTTAAATATTAAGTTTAAAATTTCATTAATCAGCTATGTATTTTGCTTGTGTTGAAATCCCTAAATGTTTGATATTCTTTTGAATGAAATAACTAGATAATGGAATGAACTTTTCATTTTCCATGTAGATATTTTGACGTGGTTTGGCTTTAGCCAAAGATGCCTTTCAAAATACCTAATTGACATTGAAGTCATTTTTCCCATATTCAAAATTTCCATGCATTTCAAAAATTATGGTGCTGGAATCACAGAACTTTATTGGCATTAGTCAAATTTAAATAATATTTTAAAACATCTTGCTGTTTGGCATTGTGTAGATCCTTTCCCCCTTCCCAGTACGCCACACTGCTCCAAAAAAAACATACCAGATTTCACACAGTTACCTGTGGTAACCTATCTGGAGCAGACTGGACATAGAGAGTAAGATAACTGAGGTGCTAATATTGGCCTGCATAATCCACATGGGTAATCAACACCTAAACAAGAGAGGGAAAGATTCTAGAAGCTTCATCTCCATGCCAGTTCTACCATCTTCTCTAATCCCCTACAAGAAATAGTCCTGAGATTGTTTGATATGCAATCCATTTTGTACTCAACAATATGCCAACGTTTGCAAAGGGGAGAGAGCATGGAACTTAAGTCTTTGCTTCAAATTTCATTCTTCAGAAGACAAACTCAGAGGAAAAATAAATAAATTGATCAATCAATCAATCAATCGGAGCTACTGACATTTTCTACTTCAAGTGCAGTTACTGAACCCTTTCAGCTAAGGAGGGGTGCAAGTCAAACTACCTTCTAATGGTTCTTACAAATCCATTTTCTTTAGAAGTAAAGAAAATGTTCTTTTAAAAAATATTGATCCCAGCTGACAAGTGGTCAAACACAATAGATTCAGGTGAAAAAGAAAAGGAGATAATAAAAGGTCATTAACTGATTTATTACTGATTTCATAATATTTCAAAATTAGTTGTCCATAAAGTATCTATGAAGAGGAAACTGTAGGAAAAAAAAAAAAAGAGGAATACTCTCCCTATAGAGCAACAGGAGCCTCAGTGAACTTATCTGCAGAATGGGGTTATTAGAATAGATGACCTTCCTGTTAGGAACTTTGGTGGATCCAGAACATCTATTCCTTTATGACAATGGAAGTGTTGAAGGGTCTAGATTTGATCTGTTTTAGAAAGGAAAAATGAGAGAACAGACGTGAAGGAAAAAAGGCAGCTAAAATGGTCACGCCCATACTACAACAGGTAATCAGAGGGAACACTAGTGGTGTCTCAATTCAAAATAGCTACTTTTTATAAAGTGTTTTCTGGATCACATTCTTTATGAAGATATCCATTTAAACAGTTTTAGAATAAAAAGACCTGAAAATGTGACTTTAATTATAACTACAATGATTTTCCTAAGTAGATACACTTTACCAACTAAGGAGCAAAAGAATTTACTTACCATTTGTCCTCTAGAGTAAATTCTCCAACTGCACAAAAGAAACTAAACTCACATAATGTTTATTCTCCCTTTCCTTCCCAAATTAGGTCATTTATGTAATACTGAACCTCTACAAAAGGTAACATACAAAAGATGCTAATGTGCTAAGAAATAAAAGGAACACTTCATAAAAATATAGTGGTTTTCTTTTTCCATATGAAAGTATTTAAAAAACAGTAGCTTGCAATATGTTACAAACATTCTTATATGACACTTTCTGAGTCTGTGAATTCTTGCCAGAAATATATAGTGTTCACATCATTCCAGTGAATAACACTCAACATACCAATTTTTTTCAAAGGCACAATGTCAAAAATACTTATCGACTTTAAAATTTGTTTTTTCTGTAGTATATACCAACCACCTGTGACATTGTTCTAAACAATGACATTGTTGTAAACAATGTCACAGGTGGTTGGTATATACTACAGAAAAAACTCTTAAATACTATGCTAAATTTCAATGTCAGTGAACACAGAAAAAAAAGTAATGTTGGTATTTGAGGTCATTATATTTCCAGCAGCCTGAAGACATTGAGACTTATCAAAATAGTGATCTTAGGCACTTTGCCTACCCCTTTCTTTTGGGAATCTTTAATTTATGTGACATGTTTAAATAAATGGGAGTTAACTCTTCATTTGCTTTGGGAAATTACATAAAAATCACTCTTAAAATTGTAAAAAATGTAGCCGACTACACACTATATAGTATTATTTCTACCTGCCATCAGGTGCTGTAAATATTAAAGGGTAATTTTCTTCAACCTTTCAGGTTAACATAACTCACCTGCCCTTCAGCTTGCCAGGTGAAATTCATGGAATGGATATTGACAGGAATGGCTGGCATTCTCTGTTGTGCTCTTCTGAAATCATGTGTAAAAGGGGCCATTTTCCCCTCTGAAACAATCAAGATATCTTCTTCAAATCCTGGTTTTAAAAAAACAAATAAAACTATCAAACTAGCTGGACTTAAAAGCATCCAAATGAGAACTTGCACGCAAAAAGAACACCAAAGAATTAGTAATGGGTCATTTCTTTTCACAAGGCACCTGCCTTCGTACCAACTGATATTCCTGTGGGTGATAAGAATGATGCCAAAGACGCATGCTTTCGGGGAAAAGGAGTGGACGTGGAGTTAACTGGTGCTAGCAAATGCTGGGTCCACCTAAAAACGCAGGATTGTAGAAACTAGCAACAGCATGATCAGAACACTAGATCAGCTTAGGTTTCTTGAGAGAGAAGTTTATACGCTTTTAGATGGAAAATAGCTAATTAAAAGGGAGAGACCAATCTTCCTTGGAAATTAAGCTTTGAAAACATACTAAATGTATGCATCTCTCCTCCTTTAATGGAAAAGCTGGACAGAGAGTGAAGACCCAGGCAGGGGAAGAGGCAGAAGCTCCCGTGTTAGGCGCGAAACCTTACCTATGAGCACTCTCGCCTGGTGAGCATCGATCCACAGGTACAGGCTTTCCTCCGGCGGCTGCCCGACCTCCGCCCGCAGCACCAGCAGGCACGGGAGGATGCTCCAGAATCGGAGCGCGGCGGCAGGGAAGGCGCCTCTCCGGGCCATACTACTCCGAACCTCCTGGCTGGTGGCTCTCGCAGCTGAAACTCCTGCCGCACCTACCCAACCTGCAGCCGTTAAGCTGTCTCTCAACCGGAGCCGTTCCCGCGTAGTCAGCTGGGCGTGTAGCCTCTCGGCTCTGATGCGAGTGAGCCCGGGTGAGCGCGAGGAGGAAGAGAAGGGAGTGGAAGAACCGGCGAGAGCGGGGCAAGACCGGGGGCGGGGGCGGGGGCGCAGGAGGAACAGGGGAGAGCAGAGACGCAAGACTGGCAAAGCAGGAGATGCCAGCCCGCCGAGCGAGGCCAACAGTCAGAGGGTTAAATACAGCGGGAGAGGAAGAGCGGGAAGGGCCGGCGCAAGTGCGGTGCGAAAGAGGAGGCACTCGGCCCAGTCGGCCGCCACTGGGCGGCGCTGGGGAGACGCACGGGGGTGGGGCGGCACGGGACCCCGGAGGCCGCGTCCACGCCGCTGTGCGCCGCGTGGGAGCACGCACGAAAGGCGCACGTGGTGGAGGGAGATGCGGAGAAGGGCGCTCAAAGGCGCCTCAGGGAAGTCCCTCGCTTCTGCCTCTGGCCAGACGAGGCATGAATGGAGGGAAGTGGGGTGAACTGACTTCACAGGGCTTAACTGAGCGCAGGTGATGATGATGATAACTCCCAGTTGTACTCCGGGGCTAAATGAAGGCGCATATTCCTCCACTTCTCCCTTTCCGCTACTGCCATTCCTCCTTCTGCAAACCCTATCCTCATCCATCCGCGCTAAGCTGACACGGCGCATTCCCATCCATTTAAAACCCAAGACTCGACCGTCCAGTGGTTCCCTGATGGCTGGCGCTCAGGTTGGCGGGGGCGTGGGGTTTCATTGCCACTTGCCTGACACCATGGAGGATGCTTTTTAACAGCTGTGGAGGCTCTTCTCCCTGATCACCGGAAGCACTTGCAAGAGTTCCCTGAGCTCTGGATGACAGGCTTACCTGACCTGCTGGGGTAGGGCTCCCAAAAGTTGTGAATATCTTCATAGTTGCCGGTATTTTAAGAAATTTGGAGGCGTGCCGCGCTGGTACTGAAATCGCAGGCGCTTTAGAGCAACACCAAGGATCTGGCCTTGCCTGTGGGAAGAGTAGGTGGCTGGCAGTGGGCTCCAGCCCTGCCACACCGACTCGACCCCAGCAGAGAGGATTTGTTTTGCCCCCTGCCTAATCCCTTGGATAAGCAATGAAAACGGAAGCAAAGGTTTAAAAATTTTTTTTTAACTTAGATTTCAGACTCAGAAAAGAGTTGTTTACTTCTGTATTTTTTGGCATCCGAATGTTGGACAAATGTCCCAAGGATTGAGCATCTGGGGCTGGGCGTGTTGTTTCACCCAGTCCCTTGCAGAAGTGGATACCTCAAGAGGGGAGAGCAAACCGGCAACAACGGAAGAGAAGCGGAACACGTGCATGAATTCAGCTAAGCGTTGGGTCATGAGAAGTTACTAAAAAGAACAGAATATGTGTATTTCCAATTATGAAATATTTTCAACCGTGCAACTGTTGATCTTTGAAAAGAACTAGACGAAATCTACAATGGATTTGAACTTTGTGTTTTAATTGTAAAAGTACTTTAAAGTGCTTACTTAAACCTCACAAGTCTTTTAAATAGGTACTATTATTATTCCCATTTTATTGACGGGGAAACAAGGCTCAAAAAGATCCAGTAAGTTAGTTGACTGTGGTTACCCAGTGGTAACTATGGTTACTTACCGGGTCAGAGGCAGAGTCAGGGTTCAAATTTCCAGGCACTCTGGTTTCAAAGCCTATTCTCTTAACCACTGTACCTCCACTGATAAGTAAATCATAATTAAGTCTGTTTGCATCCAAAGCTTCACAGCCATTCTCCTTTACAATAACATTTACCTCTTTTCAAAGATTTCATGAGTTTTTATTTCAGTGAATATTCATTTATGTAATGTATTCATATACATTCCGAAACCTTCAAAGCACTTTAGCATTGTAATGCCAGTTGTCCCCCAGTTAAAGATAATACTTTTGCAACACAATGGACATTTTCCTTTACTCCAGAAAGTTGTCGTTTTAATTGAAAATATATTTTTCCCTCAGTAGTGTTCAAACCCCTACGGCTCTTGATGCAAGGACGCCCTCTACAGGTTGTTCTAATCAAATACTAACTGAGAAATAGCCTTCATAAAATTTACTTTTTATGTAGAGAAAAAGAGGGACTAAATTCTCCCTAATTCACCTTCCCCTGAGTGAGGTCTTTCTGCAACAGTTGAATTTGGTGTTGGTGATACTGGTAGTATATCGTGCTGTAAGGAATTTTTCTTTCCAGAACAACGGGTCTCTGTTCGCTTCTCCCCAGCAGTGGACACTTAGAAAAATTACATTTTATGATAGAGAAAAGTGTCATTTAAAAATATTGGATTTGGGCTCTTTTGGGTTTTAAAAGGAAGGAAGGAACCAGTCAGCTATTTTCAAGAGTAATATGGTGTCTCTTTGGGGGGAAGGTCCATCTAAGAGTTGAATCAGGCTGGACTCTCCCTTCTATTGTTAAAGAGCAAAGAGGCTTTTTCATTCAGAAAAAAGTTATGTTTTAACATTTCTCTGCTCAAATAGAAATGCAACAATATTTGCACATGATAAAATGTTGGAAATAATATGCTAGGAGGTGTTGCGAGTTAACTTCATTTAGTTGAAAATCCGACCATTTATTTTTCCAGTCCATTATCCTTCCTTTCCTTGTGTAATTAATTCTTGTGAATTACATTTGCAGGCAACTTCATGTATTTGTTCATTAACTCATTCACTCATTCAACAAATATTTATTAAACACCCATTTTGTGCAAGACACTGTCCTAGAAACAACAGGAGAGACAAAGCCAGTGAAAAATATCACGAAACTACATGAGAAACAAAACAGGATCCCAGCCCTTGAAGACCACTGGAGCTATTTAAATGAATAAGATAAGTACCCAAGTAACTGTAATTCAAGGCAGAATACAGTGATTGTTGATAAGACAAAAGGACTGGAAATTCAAAGGAGAAATCTCATATCTGGGATTCTGAAAGTTTTATAGTTCATTCATTCATTCATTAAAAAAAACACTGACTGTGTGTCTGATGTATGCACTGTACAGGTACAGGGGATAGGAAGGCAAGTAAAAAGACAGCCCCTGCTCTTGAACTCTCGGTCTAACAGGGGAGATTGTTAAGAATGAACAATAAAGAAGAATGAATGCCAGGATGGGGATGTGCACAGGGTATTTTGGGACTGGGAGAAAAGTCCCCTAATGCAGACTGGGTTCTGGTAAGACTTCCTAGGGGCCAGGGTACTTGAGTAAGCAGTTCTGAAGGTTAAAGGGGAATTGAACATGTAAGGGAGAGAGACAAGGGATGTCCAGCAATAGTGAGAACAGAGATGAGAGAAGGAATGGTACCATCCAGAACCTGAATGTACTGATCTGCAATGTGATGAGCCTGGAGTGGGGGAGAGAGGGATGGATGAAGACAAAAAGGGAAGTAGGAGTTGGTTATGGAAATTGTGCTGAGAAGAATTCTCAATAATTTATGGAGAGACACTGTCCTCGAGGAGGTGGAGCATAACTCCCCACTCTTTTTTTTTTTTAACATCTTTATTGGAGTATAATTGCTTTACAACGGTGTGTTAGTTTCTGCTTTACAACAAAATGAATCAGTTATATATATACATATGTTCCCATATCTCTTCCCTCTTGCGTCTCCCTCCCTCCCACCCTCCCTATCCTACCCCTCCAGGCGATCACAAAGCACCGAGCTGATCTCCCTGAGCTGATCTCCCTGTGCTATGCGGCTGCTTCCCACTAGCTATCTACCTTACGTTTGGTAGTGTATATATGTCCATGCCTCTCTCTTGCTTTGTCACAGCTTACCCTTCCCCCTCCCCATATCCTCAAGTCCATTCTCTAGTAGGTCTGTGTCTTTATTCCTGTCTTACCCCTAGGTTCTTCATGACATTTTTTTTTCTTAAATTCTATATATATATGTGTTAGCATATGCTATTTGTCTCTCTCTTTCTGACTTATTTCACTCTGTATGACAGACTCTAGGTCTATCCACCTCATTACAAATAGCTCAATTTCGTTTCTTTTTATGGCTGTCCCCACTCTTAAGCGTAGGCTATGCATAGTGACTTCCTTTCATAGAGTTCCATATGGAAAGAGGTAAAAGGAGTAACTTTACAGCAGAGAGACCTAACAGACATGGGTGATCTTGTCCAGGTGATCAAGGTCAACATCAACAGTGATAAGTCATGTTGATAGTATGTACCCTGGATAAGATGTGATGAGAATGGTAACTTCACCTCTGTGGTCTTCTCTTAAAAACCCATAACTTCTGTCTAATCATGAGAAGGGTATCTGAAAAACACAACTGAAGGACATTCTACAAAATACCTAACCAGTAATCCTTAAAACTGTCAAGGTCATCACAAACAAGGAAAGTCTGAGAAATGGTCACAGCCAGGAGGAGCCCAAGGACACACGACAAGTAAATGTAATGAGGTATCCTGGATGGGATTCTGGAACAGAAAAAGGACATCGGATAAAAACTAAGGAAATCTGAATAAACTATTAATAATAATGTATCAATATTGGCTCATTAACTGTGACAAATATACCATATTAATGTAAAATGTTAATTGAAGGAAAACTGGGTGCGGGATTTATGGAACTCTGTGCTATCGTTGCCATTTTTCTGTAAATGTAAAACTGTTCTAAAAAATAAAGTTTATTTAAAAAAATTAAAAAGTAAAGTTTATTTTAAAAATAAATGGTAGACCTAGATACATTCAAAAATACTAAAATACTACGAAAAGATGCTCAACATCACTCATTATTAGAGAAATGCAACAAAACTACAACGAGGTATGACTTCACACTGGTCAGAATGTCTATCATCAAAAAATCTACAAACAATAAATGCTGGAGAGGGCATGGAGAAAAGGGAACCCTCTCACGATGCTAGTGGGAATGTAAATTCGTACAGCCATTACGGAGAACAGTATGGAGGTTCTTTATAAAACTAAATATAGAATTACCATGTGATCCAGCAATCCTCCTGGCCATATATCTGGAAAAAAACATATTTCAGAAAGATACATGTGGGCTTCCCTGGTGGCGCAGTGGTTGAGAGTCCGCCTGCCAATGCAGGGGACACGGGTTCGTGCCCTGGTCTGGGAAGATCCCACATGCCGCGGAGCGGCTAGGCCCGTGAGCCATGGCCGCTGAGCCTGTGCGTCCGGAGCCTGTGCTCCGCAACAGGAGAGGCCACAACAGTGAGAGGCCCGCGTACCGCAAATGAACTTATTTACAAAACAGAAATAGAGTCAAAGATGTAGAAATAAACTTATGGTTCCCGGGGGGCAAAGGGGGATAAATTGGGAGATTGGGATTGACATATATACACTACTATACAGAAAATAGATAACTAATAAGGATCCCCTGTATAGCACAGGGAACTCTACTCAATACTCTGTAATGACCTATATGGGAAAAGAATCTAAAAAAAAAAGTGGATATATATACATGTATAACTGATTCACTTTGCTGTACACCTGAAACTAACACAACATTGGAAAATAAATATCAACTATATTCCAATAACAAAAATACTAAAGTGCTGACATTTGAAAATCAAAGGACTTTTCATAAAAATTTGGATTTTTCAGGTTCTTGAGGCTTTTTTTTGGCTTCTTGTGGCTTACTCAAGTAAAACTGAGACATCTGGCAATATTCCCTCCCAAGAGGATGTGTGTGAGTAGTGCTGTAAGTACAGTTACAATACTCCTCTTTCCAGCCTGCTCCAATCATTTACTTGACTTGCTGGGCTTCTGGAGGCCCAGAAGTTTGCTACTCGCTACTCATGGCCTGGAGGAGAGGCCATGGGACAGGGAGTGGGAAGGTGCCTGAGCCATCCCTTAGCCTGGCAGTGCAGTTGTGTGGGAACAAGGACAAAGCCTGCTGTAGAGGAGGATCTTGTCCCTGCCCAGCCACCCGTTCACCCCAGCAAACTGCCATCCTGCTGACCACTCTGCCTTGTGGTCTCCGCCAGAGCTATTTTGGTGATGACAGGTGTTGGGACGGAGACTAGGTTATATCAGCTGCACCCTGAGCTGCGTTTGGAGAAAGAGGGGAGCAGGCAGCCCTGTAGCACACTGGTATGGAAAGGGAGCCACAAGACACAAGATAGCAAGTAAAGAGAGCAAGTTGCCAAGCATTGTTTTAATGCAGCCCTGTTTTTAAAAACCAAACACAATATCTATCTGCCTATCTATCTATCTAGTTAATATGTATATAAAACCATGCCGAGAAAATGTCTAAAAGGTTACATACCAAAATATTTCCAAGGGTAACCTATGAGGAGTGAGACTGGGATGAGGGAATTATTTTTCACTTTATGCACAAATATTTTCTGATTTTTTTTTAATGGGCAGATGCTCTTGTAATTGAAAACCACTTCGAAGAAGAAAGGTTGTTCCTCTCCTGCTCAGTCAGTTTCTCTCAAAGTAGGCAGCTGTCACCACCCTAGTCCAGCACTTCTTGCTATGCTGCTTGCATACTTTATCACTTAAGAACTGTACATCACAACACATGACAGCTCATTACTGAAGCACAGCACAGCTTGAGGGTTCCTCATCAGCGCATGTAACACTTCTGCTCTTCTTTCCTCACATGATGGCATTGCCAAGCAACCTAGCATACCTTGTCTTCCACAAACCATACCCATTATTTTCTGTTCATCCATGCTGTTTCATCCCTATGACATTTAACAGCACTATTTTTTTATAATTGGGAATAAAAGGAAAACAATTGTACTGCCCAATATTAGAGAAATGGAAAACAAATTAGAATACTTTCATAAGATGAATTATTATTGAACTATTAAAATTAATGTTCTGACCTATGTATTCAACCATGAAACTATCATCACAGTCAAGATAAAATCCATTATCCATCACTCCCAAAAGTTGAACAAATCATATACTTTAGATATGTGCAGTTTATTATATGGCAACTGCATTTAATTAAATCTGTTTAAAAAATTTTTAAGAAATAAAAAATATTGATGTTTCATCAGGACACAAAAAACACTAACCATAAAAGAAAAAATTGGTAAATTAGGTGATATTAAAATGAAGACTTTTTTAAATCAATAGATAGCATTGAGAATGAAAAGACAAGCTATAAAGTAGGGGAAGATACTTGGGCATATGGGACTCTTATCCAGAATATATAAAGAATTTCTATAAATTCATAAGAAAAAGGTCAAACAATCTGGTAGAAAAATGGGCAGAAGGCTTGAATAAGCACTTCACAAAAGAGCATATCTAAATGGCCAATTAACACATGAAAAGCTGAACTTCATTAGCAATAGAACTAAAACTACAGTGAAACCAGTTCACTGCATTCAGAATGCTTAAAATTAAAAAAGAAAGACTCTATGAAGTTGGTGAAGAAGTGAAACCTATACTGCTGATGAAAGTGTAAATTAGTACAATCATTGTGGCAAACTGCTTGGAAATAGCTAGTAAAGCTCAGTGATTGCACTCCTATGGATAAGCCCAAGAAAAAAAAATGTGCACCTATCCATCCAAAGACATGCACTATATATCTTGGCCCCCAAATGGAAACAACTCAAGTATCAACAGTGGAATGAATTAATAAATTATTATTATTGGTATGATGGAATACTACACGGCAATGAGAATATGCAAAGTACAATTACACACAACACAGATGACTCTCACAGACATCAGGATGAGCTAAATAAACCGAAAGGGTACATACTGCATGATTCCATTACTAAAATTCCCCAAACAGGAAAAACTAATATTAGAAGTTAAGATAATGAAGGGACTACCTTTGGAGCGGAGTAATGACTGGAAGGGGATGTAAAAGGTACCTCAGGGTGCTGGTAATGTTTTGTTTCTTTTTTTTTTTGCGGTGTGCGGGTCTCTCACTGCTGTGGCCCCTCCCGTTGCGGAGCACAGGCTCCGGACGCGCAGGCTCAGCGGCCATGGCTCACGGTCCCAGCCGCTCCGCGGCATGGGGGATCCTCCCGGACCGGGGCACGAACCCGTGTCCCCTGCATCGGCAGGCGGACTCTCAACCACTACGCCACATGTTTTGTTTCTTGATCTGGATGTTTGCTACATGGGAATGTTTATTTTGTGAAAATTCGTTACATTGAACGAATTTATGATTTGTTCACTCTTCTATGTGTATATTTCAATAAAACATTTACTAAAAATTATTATATCATATAAAAAACAAAATTATAAAAGATAGAACACATAGGTGAATGTATGTATAAGCTTAGAGTGGGAATGACCTTTCTAAGCAAGACACTTGAAAGCTATAAAAGAAAAGATAAATAAATTTGGCCAGAAAAAATGTTTTAAATAGCTATGTAGCAATTAATATAAAAATAGCTACACCATAAACAGATTACTGGGGAAAATATCTGCAAACATATGACAGACAGACGGATAATTTTCAAATTTCCAAAATGCTTATCCTTACCAATAATGCTTATGCCTACCATATCAGCTAGTAGAAAAATGGACAATATAGATTTCTGTTTCACAGAAATAGAAATACAAAAGGCTAAAAGGT